CAAGCATTTGAGTGAGCCTGTGGAGACCATGGCCATCAGCCCTCCTATACTCTGAATTCATTTTCTTTTGGAAACAGGCTAACATCATCCAATAAACACTTATTGAGAGCCTACCAAGCACCAGACTCTACTTACGACCAGTGGGGGAAACCTAACCCAAGACCCTATTTCTGACCAATAATCCAAGTTTTTTCCTGTGACGTGTTTCTGCCATATGGTAAAATATCTTTCTCCAATATAAAGAGTTGCTCTTCCTATGTGATTAAACATCACATTACAAAAGAGATTGATTTTTTTTTTCCAGGTCATATGTCACAGTATAAAAAGCACTAGTCAAGGACCTTGCCATTTAATTTTCCCTAATAAAGTAACAAACAAAGTAACTTCTCCATTTAAAAAGAAATGGAAATCCTATGTAATAAAAGGGTAATATGCAAATCGACCGAACAATGGAATGACCGGTCACTATGATGTGCACTGACCACTAGGGGGCAGACGCGCAACGCAGAAGCTGCCCCTTGGTGGTCAGTGTGCCCCCACAGGGGGAGCGCCACTCAGCCAGAAGTCCAGAAGCTGGGCTCCCAGCTGGAGAGTGCAGCGGCGGTGGCGGGAGCCTCTCCCACCTCCACGGCAGCACTAAGGATATCCGACTGCCAGCTTAGGCCCACTCCCCTAAGCCATCAGTCAGCTGGACATCCCCAGAGAGCTCCCGTACTGCGAGAGGGCGCAGGCCCAAATCTCGTGCACCGGCCTCTATTGAACTATACAATCTGTAAAGCCTATATTCTAAATATGTACCCAAATGAGTTAATTATAACTTCCTCTCTGTTAAATCACTTTTATTATTCTTAACATAATCATCTCCCAATAGGACTTAAAATCAAATCAATGCTTTGGTTATCACTTGATTTCTATAATTAACATGGATAAATTAATATTTTTAAAAAATAAACACAAAGGAGCCTAAAACAGCATTTTAGTACAAGAAGATCCCTTAAATCAGTGGTTCTCAACCTGTGGGTCGCGACACCTTTGGCCAGGGGTCCTCAAACTACGGCCCGCGGGCCACATGCAAATACAAATATTGTATTTGTTCCCGTTTTGTTGTTTTACTTCAAAATAAGATATGTGCAGTGTGCATAGGAACTTGTTCATAGTTTTTTTTTTAAACTATAGTCCAGCCCTCCAACAGTCTGAGGGACAGTGAACTGGTCCCCTATTTAAAAAGTTTGAGGACCCCTGCCTTTGGCGGTCAAACGACCCTTTCACAGGGGTCACCTAAGACCATACTGAATATCAGATATTTACTTTACAATTCATAACAGTAGCAACATTACAGTTATGAAGTAGCAACGAAAATAATTTTATGGTTAGGTCACAAGATGAGGAACTGTATTTAATGGGCCAGAAGGTTGAGAACCACTGCCTTAGATGATCTGTTATTTTAAATGTAAAGAAACTAAGGTCCTAAGAGGATTATAAAGCAAATTCAGTTCTCTTTTCATGTTAATCACCAGTTTTTTTTTAAAAAATAATAAAAAGGAAACAAGCTTATGGGATATAAAAATTCTCATAGCTACATAAGCTAAAGGAGTCAAGATCATATTGAGATGTAGTTTCTCAACAAAGAGAAAACTACTTGAAGTTTTTAGTTTGAATAGTCATGTAAGCAAGATACTTTAATAAATATCTTTAAACAAATAAATACTTCTAAAACAATGGAAATAATTCCTGTTTATGTAGAGTTATGGTACACAAATACAGTCATAAATGCTCTTAAACTACATGGATTAATCTGCTCTTATGTAATTTATTAAATGGCAAGTTCTCTATAATAGCTTTTCTTAATTTGAGAGCACAAAACACAACAAAAGGCTTTGTTACCACAAAGACAACGAAGTGAAAATGTATGTCATGGTTCTCACAATTATAAATAATCTAAACCAATTAATTAAAAATAATTTTACTCAGCATTGTAATTAGATACATTTAAACAGGATATATAAAAAGCCAAAATTCCACTTCTCTGGAGGGATTTGATTCTGGGAAACAATGTAACATTCACATGTAAATACTAACAATTAAAAAATAATAGTTATATAAGGACAAGTGTTCGATAGGCATGGGTTACTGGAAGTTCCTAATATATATATAGCTTTTGTAATGTACCTATCTTTAATGTCAAAACCTTAACGGCTACTTTTTCTGAATATGACTCTAAAAAGATCAGGAAAGTCATATGGACTGGAAATAGAGTGTTGGGAAACAAAACCACAGACATTAACTGTAGTTGAAGTCATGGCAGTGGACAAGACAGCCCAGAGGAAGCACTTGAAATAAACTTGAGAAAGGAGCGTAGACAGTAAACAAGGTCAAAAAGGACCAGGAGAGCGTAGTATGCTAGGACTCAAGGGGGCGGTTATTTTATTAAATAATGAGAGGTCAAAAGTATTTAATATGCTATTGAAAGGTCAAAGACAACTGAAAATAAGTCACTGGCTTTAGAAATTAGTTGGATACTGGTGAAATTTATTAGAGAAATTTTAAAAGTGGTAAGGTTAAAAAAAGGGGAGAGAGAGAGAATTAAATCCGAAGTCAAGAATTATAGAGAGGGCAGATAAATTTGACATTGATGGCCAAAAAAAAAAGGTAACAAGATATTATGTGAAAAACCCTGCAAATTATAAGGCATGTTGACCAAAAAAAGAGAGAAGTTTCCTTTCCTGAGTTTGTGAAGCCTTGCTCTCATCAAATAAAAGATATATTTACAAAATGCAAAGTTTATTTATTTTTAAAAAATATGTTCTTATTGATTGTTAGAGAAAGAGGAGGCAGAGGAATAGGGAGACAGAAACATCATCCATCAGATGCCTCCTGCACACCCCCTACTGGGGATCAACCCCGCAACCCAGGCATGTGCCCTGACTGTGACGCAAACAACTGGCCTCTTGGTTTCTGGGTAAACACTCAATTGCTGAGCCACACCAGCCAGAGTCACTTTATTGAATTAAAGATTTATGTTCCAAGAAGTCTGAGAAAGCTTCAAGATTCTAAAATGCCATACTCTCATGTTTCATGATTTGAAAAGGAAAAAGAAATACATTCATCATTCAGGGGAATGGATGAATTAACATTTATAGTAATTTCTTTCAAAGGGGATCCTGTAACTTTTGAATTTACTCAAATTTGCAACTTTTGCTATGAACCAAGATTTAAATATTCCTGCTTTAAGAATAAATAAAAATATTCCCAACTTCAAAACTGAATAAATCCTCCTGATAAGAACCAGTTAACAGGATTTCGTAAAGAAATAAATGTCATTCATACAAAAAATAACTGTCATTCAACTGTGTGCAATAGAAAAAAAGGTCATCAAAGAAGGGGACAATCTTATCTCATTTTAAACACGAGTTAAAAGCTATATTACTATCCATGCCCAAAGTTCATTCTGAGACAAACTCACATGATACGTATATACTGTTCTATATAACTCAGTAGGCCTTATAGATAACTAAAAATAACTGGCCTGGATGAGAAATGTTTGAGAAAAACCTATGATTCAGTAATGTTGCTGCTTTCCTAAATCAATATGAAATCATTCCTGATAACTACACTTTTTTCCACAATAGCAGAATAGTCAACTCAAACTTCTCAGTCTCATTACAATTATAATCTGTGGACCTCAACAAAAACTGCATGATAATTATGACACAAGATTTTGTCTCCAATTATTATTCAGAATCATACATTATTAACAATATTCATGCCCACTATAAGTAAACCTCATAAAGGACAGCCACAGTGTAAATTAACAATGTAAGTGTGAAAGCTATTAGATTATTAACTGCATTTTTAAAATAGAGATCCAAAGTGAACTTGAGTCAAAATACATACAATCATCTAATAGTTCTCAAAAACACAAATTCAAAATTAAAATAAGGCTGAAGTTAGTACACACAGAACTTTAAATATCTGGTATCTTAATTTCAAAGTATCTCTCAAATGCAGTCTCCAATATATAATTCAGAGATGCTTTAAGGTCATTTATAAGTGCTAACAACTCTGCTCCTAGATACTAAATCCTATATAATAAAAGCTCAGTGACTAAATGGCGGAACGACCAGAACGATCGCTTGACCAGTTGCTATGACGCACACTGACCACAATGGGAGCGCCACTCAGCTGATCAGGATGAGCGGCTCCTCCTGCTGCAGCCCCTTGGCTGACCAGGATGAGTGGCGCTCCCACAGCAAAAGCAGCTGCTCAGCTGATGGATGAGCAGCTGCTCTCACAGCGGGATCAGCCACTCAGAGGGCAGGTCCACAGCTGCTCAGCTGACTGGGATGAGTGGCGCTCCCACAATGGGCCAATCCCCGCTGGCCATGCCCCCAACCAGTGCATGAATCCCGTGCACCAGGCCTTTAGTATTTCATAAACTAATACATGATTTTTTGTTTTGTTGTTAAAAGATCAATACCATATGAAAGCATATACACTCTGAGTTAGATTGACTATTGCAAATTGGCTAAAAATAACTTATATACTGACTTTGTTTTATCTTTGGTGGAAGTATTAAACAATATCAATTTTTAAAAACATTCTTCAGAAGCTTAACTTAAGATAAATTAATTTTTGCCTAATCTAATCTAATTAATTAAACTTTGTATTTTTGTGTTTAATTAGTTCACAAAACTACATAGACAAAATTTCACTATAAAATAAACACATAAAACTAATTCTATCTTCAGAATTAGAACAGGAAATTCATTAAAAATTCCCTAAAACATGGGACTTCAAAGCTGAAAAAGAGCGAATGTAAAATAAATTTTGTTTCAAGAACATAATGAGAATATAAGTATACACTGGATTTTTTAATACATAAAATCAATTCTACTGTCTCTAAGAGTTTAAAATATGCTTTTAATGACTTTCATGTACAATACTACTTTAAATCAGATGAATCATGTTACAAAATAAGCTAGTCTTTGAGAGTTACTTACAATCCAGAAGGCAAATTCCTGGATGCAGTGATACCAAAGGAATACCACATAGCTTCAACGAGGATGAAGTCAACCAAGGCTGACAAAACCCAGGAACCCAGCAAAAAGGACTAAAAATAAAACAAAGCATTATATAGAGGAGTCTTCTAAAAATAAATTAACATTTACTTAATTAGAACCAGTTCAAATATATAACATATATATATATATATACACACACATATATATAGTCTTTTCTAATAAAAACAAACTTAAATATATATATAT